GCGAGGTGATGCATCCACTGTCCGACGAGGCAGAAAGAGAGAGAGAGAGAGAGAGGTTGCGATTTGCGAGAGACACAGATTATAATTATATTAACCCCGTTTTTGTGGTTTTTCTTAAATTAATATTTTACCATGATAGCAAAAATAAAAAAATAAAACTCTTACACGTGTCAACCTAATGCATTTCATGTATCCAATTCTAACTATGGTCAATATATGATTTTAAAAAACCTAAAGACTAACTTAGAAAATCATAGAAAACGTGGGGACTATAGTGTAATATAATCATAAATACGATGATACGTAATATGAAAATAAAAGACAAGTTTTGTAAAGGAATTACAATTCATGGTACTAGGCTTTCCGTGGAGATCCATTTATTTAGAAAAATTAACGAGGATGATTGCTATTTGATCCATTTGTTTTTGATGAAATAACTAGTTAATCCCTTCGTTTTTAAAAAAAACTTAACATTAAGTCCTTATGTTTCTGTATTTGGCCACAACTTGATCCTTTTGTTAGTAATTCGTCACAGTAAAATTATTTTTTGCCTAAAAAATCCTTCACTTGTAATCAAAATTTAGATTTCCTTTTTAGAAAATATAACAATTAACTTTTATCAAAGGACTAACCTATAATTTTTTAAAAAAATGAGAGTATTTTACAAACTCATAAAAAGTACAAGGATTACATGATTATTTATTCATAAATATATAATTAATAGATTTTTGGAATTACAATTCCATGAAATCTATTTATAAAAGTGGGTAGATTCCTTGGTTTTTAAAGATTCAGTCGATTAATAAAATAAATATGAAATATCTATTTAATACGGAGTTTCATATAGGCGTTTGATTAATATATGCAACGAAATAAACCAACTAGACAATCATTGCAAACAATTAACAAGAAATAAATTGGTTTCAAAACGTCCAATAATTTTCTATGCATGGGTTCCAATTTCCAAACAATTTTTTTTTGTCCAATATTTTACTGAAACATTAAAAAGAAAAAAAAAGACAATAAAAAGAAGGATGAGTTAAAAAAAAACACTATGACCATATAACTATATATAAAATCTTTCCTTACTTAAATTTTGGAATTCTTAATAGAATTAATTCACCTAATAAAATCTTCTTTTTTAAATTACATATCATTAACATTTGAGAATGGAGAGGTAAAATTCTTGACTTAGCAATTAGTAAATAATTACTAGATTGATTACATAGAGATCATTACGATAACATGGAAAAATAGAAAGTAGCATGATGGTGTATGTGCTCTTGCTTATATATAATAGTATTTCTAACCGCTTTGTGGATGATTGAATTCTAATACGGCACATTTTAATATTCAATCTTTGCAAACAAGAAAGGTATCAATTAAGTAAATCCATTGTTTTTTTTCTTAATTTTGACTTTTTTTGAATTTAATCAATTTTGAGCGCACGTAGACAATAAAAGCTTCAGGAACTTTAAAAGGTTAAATTAAAAAAAAAAAAAAAAACCGTACTAAAAAAACACGTATCTTTTTTGTCATTAAAACCTATAATATAAATCATTAGATGCTTTATATGTGATTTTAAGAAGAATGTGAAACTAAAAAGAGATTGGGATTTGTTTTTAATTTGTAAGAATACGATGAATGAATGGAGATACGACGACGACACGAGGAAACTAACTATGGGCATTTGATTTCTACGGATTCAGTAAATTTGTCACTTTTCTTAATTTGGATATTTTGTCAGAAAGCATGCGAGAAAGCGTGTGATAAATGATTTACCCTCTATCATTTCCCATAAAATATTACACGTAACCACAAGACAGATAAGCCCAAGCAAATGCGTTGACTGCTCGAATAAGTATTAAGATTTGATAGGACGGATTAGCAATCTTATCAATGGTGCGAACAGTTCTTAATAACCTACTTGCCTCAGTGCTATTATCTGTCTATCAAAATTATAATGATAATCGCACACCTCAATGGTTTCGAAAAAAATTGAAGCACAGTGTGCAATAAAATTGATTTGAGCACAAAAAATAAAAAATAAAAAATAAATCTAGTTATTTAAATAAATAATTTCGATTTTGAGTTATATATATATATACACGTCTAATTAAATAACAAATAATTTGTATGACTCTTTGGACCAAAATATCTTAGGAATAATAAAAAAATTAAAACTTAGACAAAATAAAAACAATAAGATTTATTAAAAGCAACAAAATATTATATAAAAAATAAAATCAACTCAACAGTTGTAGCAGGATCCCAATTGTCATTAAGACTGTGTTTGTTTGGAAAAAAACAACTTTTAGGAACTTATTTTCTTTATTCTTTCTTATTTTTCGATATTTGTTTCTCGTTTAAGAAAAAAATTAACGAAAAATGATACGATATTTTTGAAAAAATGTTTTTCGAGTTAGTTAAAAAAGAGAAAATATTTTTTCTCTCTCACGAGTTGTCTCGATTTCGCGTTACTTATCTCTCTATTGATATATATTTTTTAAAAAATTCTCCATCTCTTTTTTATTTAAAATATATTTAATTATTTTTTAATTATTTTTTTCTGTGTTTACGCTAAAATTTGATTTTTTAATTTATAAATACATTAAATATTCTTAAAAATCATTTTTACACCTTAAAATTATTTTTATAATAAATATTTTAATAATTTATCTCTACTTTTTTTACCATTATCCCAAACACTACATAAATCATACTTAAATGATTGAAAATGATTATTACAAGACTGCAATCATTTGTAAAAAAAATTAAAACTAATTAATTCACTAATAAATACATTATTTTCTCAACATTATTCATTGGTAATTAAATCAATAATTTGTGACTAATTTTAATAAGTTGTAAAATTTTATTAGTAATTATAGTTAATAATTAGTTACAAATTATTCTAACATTAATCTTTTGAAACCAAATGAATAATTATCTACAAATGATAACTAATAATTTGTAAAACTATTTTTGAAACTAAATTATCAATTCAATTTTTTTAAAAAAATTGTTTTGTATTTCAATTTTTTGTATCAAACAAACACTGAAATATATTTTTCAATAACTTTTTTATATAATTATTAAATATCAAAAAATATTTTTTTGAAAAATAATTTTTTAAAAAATAAATTTTTTAGAATTAATTTTTTTATAAAAATTGTTTTCTGCTAAACAAACGAGGCAAAGAGTTTAAATGGGCCTGAAAAAGCAATCCCGATGTAGCAGGCTAATGGTGTCCTACTATCCATCGTGCAATAGTCTATTAATGGGCATTTTCATTTCATCAATATTTATGAGACATGTGTAAATGTTTTCTTTTTTCTCTATAGAAGGTTTGTGTTTTATTAGGATTTTTAGTGTTTGGAGCAAGGCTATGATGTTTTTTTTCGGTAGGTTACGTTATGGTTATTGTCAATTGTTGTTTAAAATCGATAACTCTTAACAATTTTAAAGAATTGAAATCTTTTCATTAATAGACAAACTTAGGGATGGCAATGGGCGTAGATGGCCATTCCTGTTTTCGCTCCATGCTCCGTTTGAGGCATATTTTACATATTATTTTCATACCAAACGGGATAAAAGTGGGCGAAAGCTCATCAGATTGTCATTTCTAAAAATAAAAGAATGAGACAAGGCAGAAATGATCATTTCTATCCCTACCTCGTATCTCGTTCTAGACATATTTTACACTACCTCCTTGCCCCAGACTGAGCGAGACGAGACCAGAGTCTGTCGGAGCAGGCCAAATTGCCATCCCTACACAAACTCTGATAATGCTACCCGTTTTCGGTTCTTCTTGCAACTCTTCCATTGAAAACGACCCTTTGAAGCCAATTAATTCCATTCAAAACTTCATTAACCCGACACCTCTCACTACCAAAAATCAGTGAAAAACAAAGAAAGGAGAACACATAACCGTCACTTTCATTAGTCCCCAGCTCACGTCGTCAAAATGATAGAAACCTCATGATGAAATTATCCAACTACCCCTGATTAAATCAAAACCCATATATCAAACCAATCTAAAAAAATCTTTATCTTATAAATTTATCGCTAAGGATCAATTAACAATATCAGTGGATTTCGTTCCTATTTTCGTGTTTCAAAATTTCCGGAATAAAAATAGAAAGTTTATTTTTTTTCAAAAAAAGTAATATTAGCAAGTATTATCATAAAAAAACTATTTTATTTAACTTTTAAATTATGAAATCGATTGTCGATTTTTATTTTCTTAAAACCAAAAACTAAAAACAAATAAAGTTTCTATTTTTTGTCATAAATGACACAAAAAGAACAAATTTTAAGATTTTAATCGGCATAAGAGTTTATTTCACAAAATATTATATCAGATTTGAATTCAAAATAAAATAATGAGATTTAAATTGATATAAATAAATTAATTTGAATATAAATGATATATCTAAAATTAATCAGTCTTAAGAATACTTTTTTTTTTTTTTGGTAAGAAAGAAAAGAAAATCAAGCATCCATGCTGAACTTGAAGGTTGATTTTGGTATTTCAAAAGACATCCTAAAGAGGCAATGCTTGTACAATTGGGTATAAAATCAAAATCAATCTTCGCATGGGTCCCGCCCATTAAGCCCCACGAATCCCTAGAAGTCCTATTGGTCGAGGAAACCTAAGCCAAATATCATCATCCATTAAAAACGTGAAGAAAACTCGAAGGCTCCCCCTACGAAGTACAGACACAACTAAAAGCGTAAAATAATAATAATAATAATAATACAAACAAAAACACAGTACAACAACTACTCGGCTCACCAATCGCCTTCTTCGCGCCCTTTTACTTCCCTTGTCTCTCCCCTTCGCTCTCTGCAGCCGTCCACCGGTATCTTTTCTCTCTAAAACTTTATGTTTTCTTATGTTTGACATATAAAAAGATGGTGCCTTTATGTAATACTGACACGGTGTTTGTTTTTGTTGGTTTTGGCGTAGTAGAAAGATTGAATCTTTATGTCCAAAGATGATGGACTACACATTGCCTATAGCTAGAAGGACCAGGCTTAGAGAAGCTGAAGTGTATAAGAAATTGCATGATGAGATTAGGAAAGGAAAAAAACTAGGAAAGGAAAGCAATGCTGCCGCTTCTGGGTCAACGAACGGACTTTATGGGGTTCACGAGGAAAGCTTTGGTGGGTCATCTGAAAAGGGCAGTAAGAGCCAGTCTTTAAGTTTTGATGATGATCTGGCAGGTAAGGGTTTGCATGATTTTGGTTCGGTTGGGGTTGAGGATTGCGAGGAGGAGAATTGTGCTGTGCGTCCAGTTGCACTGGATGATATTGAAGATGATGTTGAGTTTTTGGATGATTGTAAAAGAGGAGGCCTTAAGGAAGGGATGGATTTTGTTTCACTTGATGATAGCGATGATGCTCAGAGTGAGGGAATAGAGAATAAGAGTTTTAACGTTGGTGGTAAGAAGAGTGGTGGCGTAGATGTGGGTGGAAGTTGTAGTGGCATGAAATTTGATGCAGAGGAGAGTGGGAGGTCAAAGGTTTCTCAGTGGCAGACGATTGTGAACGAGAGTTATAATGGTGAGGTTTTTGCACGTAAGAGGAACGAGGAGGGTGTGGACTTCTTTTCGAGTGGAATTGGGAATGAAAGCGGTGGGGTGGGTTTGAATGGGAGGAAAACTGATGGGGCAGCTAGGAGGACTGAGTTGCTGTCCGTGTTTTGTGAAAAGAGCAAGGATGGTAACGGTGTTGTTGTAGTTGATGATGATCGTATTATTTTGGAAAAGGATGCAGCGGAACTGCAGAGTTCTTCTAGTGGAGATGAGGAAAAGTTTAAGGATGATTCAGATGATGGGGATTATAGAGTGGAGTTCCCAGAGAGTCGTGTGGTCGGGCAGGAAGAGAAGGAAGAGGAGGGAGAAGAGGATGATGATAGGGAGCAAGGTGATAAGGAATTGAAGAGGAAAAAAGTTTATGGAATTGAAATATTATGTGACTCTAGCATTGGCAAAATTGAGAATAATGATGTTGACATGGATGATTCTGTTTGTGTGGGAAAACGTACCCGATCACATTATAATTCAGAATCTTCTAAGAAGAGAATGAAGCTTGGAACAGTCAGCCAACCGCTTTGTGTTGATGAGGAGGAGTTGGATGATAATGGTGATAATGATGAAGATGATAACGTCACCTATGAAACTGGTGATATTGCTAAGAAAATTCGGTCTAAGAAAGGGAAAACCGAATCTAGGGGAGAGAGTGGTGGCGACGTTGATAATGGTAATGAGACGTATGAGTTTCACCGGATAACTAGGTCTCAGAAAAGGATAATTGATTCTAGAAAAGGGAGTAGAGATGAGCATCTGCAGGATGTATGTGGAAGGAAACCTAGTAAAAGAAAGCGAATGCGTGTCTTAAAAGAACATGAATTTCTCAACATTCTTGCAAATCCCATTGTTTTGGAGCAGGAAGATTTGCCTTTCAAACAAAAAAGCGAACAACTCAAGAAGCCAGTTCTTCCTCTGAAGTTCACGTTTGGAATTGAAGAACCAACTCCTCCAGTTAAATCAGAAGAGGAGAAACAATTGGAGGAACTTTGGGCTGACATGGCCTCAGCTCTTCGTTCAAACGATACCACTGATGATGCACCGGTATGCTACGGTAGAAAATTACAAGCACTTAGACAAATGATCTTTCCTTTAATTTATCTAGTCTAATAAGATTTTGGCGAGTTAATTCTATTTTCTTTGGGTTTCTGCTTTATTTATTATTATTATTTTTTTTGAGGTCAGCTTGCGAATAATGTTGGAACTGTAGATTTTGCAATTTTGTTCCTATATATATATATTCTACTTCTTAGGTATCAAGTTACTTCAACTAAAAGGTTCTATGTGTTAAGTTTAATTGCTGAGCTATTTTGAGCTCTCAACTTTCTGAACTTTTTATGACGGAATTCATCTGTAATATTGGTGAAATTTTCATCTAAGTTTGATATTGACAATATATTACATGACTAGTTTAGACATCATTACAGACTGCATTTATGAAGCTCGTCCCAATAAACAGCTTGTTTAGTTCTTCAACCGCTACAATACCGAAGGAAAAGTGTTGCTTGGCATATTTTAGTTCAAAACTCCTGGATCAGTGCCATCTTCTTTGCATCAGAAATTTGAGATCTGATAGTTAGTTCTTCTCATGATTTGATTTGTTGATAAGGACTCGGGACTTTCTCAAATTGTTTTTTGGTATTACTACTCATTCAGTTTTTCAAATCCCGGGACTCTATAGGGCTTAGGTGACAACTTAAGGCAGATTTGTGCATACTGCATTGAGTCTAATCTCGATAAAGACTTCCAGCAATTGTAATGACAAACAATATTTTCGTTATTAAATTAAACCAAATGCTTGGTATCTAATATAAATTCTAAATCATAGAGGTTAACAAAAGTAATGCACTCTTTTACTACCAAATTGGTGGGTCTATTAATTGAGAGCTTATTCTTATTTATTTTACTGCATCCGTCTGGGAGGGGTTCTGTTTCATTCAATAATTGACATTTTGAATGCTTGTTTACTTTGTCTGATTCCTGTTGTCAACAATTTTTTAATGCATTCCTTCTTACAATTCTGTAATTAGAATGTGAATCAGCTTATTTAATAAGTGTGGTAGAAACCATTGAGTGAACTAGCATCTAAAAAACCTGGTTAAAACATGAGTTTGTGTCAGATGAGATTGTTAAACCATGTTTTCGGTTTACCATTCTATGACTGCTCGCATGTTCTTGCTTTTATTTGCATGCATATTATGCACATCATATTTATTTTTGTCTTGAATTAATTTATTATTCGTTGATAGGTTTCGAGTTTCTTAACTGAAATGAAATGTATTATCACCTATTTAAGCGAAACTTGTGTTTTTTTGTGCTCTTCAGCTGGATGAAAATGAAGATGACGCTCTTGAGGTTGAACTTGATACAGCCACCCTTTGTAGTCAGGGGAATCATGAGCTTTGGCTCGACGATGAAATTGGATTTATCTGCAAAAATTGCTCTTCTGTGCCTTTGGAAATCAAATACTATGTGCCCCCTTTTGTAAGTCTTGTCATCCAGAATAACTCATCATTTTGTTCATGATTCGTAGTTTAATGTGTTGCGTTAATGCATGAGGATTTAATTCATAGCAATCTGCATTATCCATCAAATGTAGAGTGGTCTATAACCTCTTAAAAGGCGATGAGAAATATGCTTTGCAACTGCCTCGTTCTCTGACTACTCCACTTGAAAATACATATCTTTGGCTTAGTCTAAGCCTGACCAACTCTCTATCAACCTTTTTAAATAATGGAATTAGGAGCCCTGATTTCAAATGGTTGTTTGTTTTGAGGTATCTTTTTTTTTTTTTTTGGTTAGTAATAATAATCAGTCAAAGTGCCAATGGGTAGGACTACTGTTCTCCAAGGCCACTCCTTCCTGGAAATGTACTTTGTTTGTGGCCTATGTAATGATATACCGGCATCAGTGAGTTTCTGCCTGTACGCACAAACCTAATTCTGTCTCTCTGATATAATAATATGACAGCACTGAATAATATTTCCTTTGAACGTGATGCTGTAATCCATCTACATTAATCAACATTTTGCATTCTATACTATTTTCCTATAATCTCTTAGCAGAAATTGTTCAGAAAGCATTTGATTTTTGAAATGTTGGTTGTCTGTGTTGCAGGATACATATCCTCTGGGAAAATCATCCAGGAGATACTTTGTCACAATGCAACACAACATCTTCAATGACCTTCATGATCAAGATTCTGGTCATGACACACATCCTGTTTATGATCCTTGCATTCGAGAGCGAGGCACAGTGTGGAACTTAATTCCTGGTATTGGAAAGGGCTTGCATGTACATCAACGTAAAGGAATTGAGTTTATGTGGAAAAACATAGGTGGGGGAATTTATCTTGACAAGTTGAAAGAGAATACAAGCTTAACTGGTGGGACAGGATGCATTATATCCCATGCTCCTGGGACTGGGAAAACCCGCCTGGCCATAGTGTTTCTCCAGATGTTTATGGAATTATATCCAACAAGCAGGCCCGTAATAGTTGCTCCTTGCAGCATGCTCCTTACATGGGAGGCAGAGTTTTTAAAGTGGGGGGTTGACATTCCCTTTCACATTTTGAACAGCAAAGAACTTTCTGGAAAAGAAAATAAGACATTTGTGGATGTTTTCAGGGGACTTAAGCCTGTAGAACGTGGTTCAAATGCCATCCGTTTGGTGAAACTATATTCTTGGAAAAACGAGAGGAGTATCCTGGGAATCAGTTACAGACTTTTTGAAGAACTTGTTGGTGAAGGAAGGAATAAAATCGAAGTATCAGATAAGACTGAAGTTGACCAGGTAAGGAAATTGCTTCTCGAACTTCCTGGTCTTTTAGTCCTTGATGAAGGACATACACCTCGAAATGACAAGAGTCTTATCTGGAAAGCTTTGTCCAAGGTCCAAACACAAAAGCGGATAATACTCTCAGGAACACCCTTCCAAAATAACTTCGACGAGCTTTATAACACGCTGTGCTTGGTGAAGCCTAAATTTGCAGACGAGATCTCGTCTAAACTCCATAGAGCTTTTCCTAAAAGGCGTGGTCGCAAGAGAAATGTTGGCAGAGGGAATTGGGCTTCCTTGACATCTGCAATTGGCAAAGCCATCGCTGATAAGCTGGAAGCTCAGAGGGTGGAAGAGCTTAGAAAGATGATTCAGAAATTTGTGCATGTACATAAGGGTGGTGTGCTACGAGAAAGACTCCCTGGATTGAGGGACTCTGTGGTTATTTTACAGCCAGTCCATTTGCAGAAGACCCTTCTTGAACATGTTAAGCAAATTAATGGCGTGGATCATTTTGAGATGGAATATTCGGTGTCTCTACTTTCTGTGCACCCTTCTCTGTTGCCAGAGAAATCAGTTGGAAACCAAGAGTTTAAGTGTGTTGATCAGAGGAAGTTAGAAAGGCTTAGATCAAAACCCGAGGCTGGAGTAAAAACGAAATTTCTTATGGAACTCATTTGGCTTTGCCAGGCGAGGAATGAGAAAGTTCTGGTCTTCAGTCAATATCTTGAGCCACTGAACTTGGTAATCAAGCAGCTTGAATCTAAGTTCAATTGGATCCAAGGAGAAGATGTGTTATATATGCATGGACAGCTTAAAGTCGACGAACGTCACACATTGATCAAGCATTTTAACAATGCAAATAGTGAGGCAAAAGTGCTGCTCGCATCAACTAAGGCTTGTTCTGAAGGGATAAATCTTGTCGGGGCTTCAAGGGTGGTTTTGCTTGATGTTGTGTGGAACCCATCAGTGGAAAGGCAAGCCATAAGCCGTGCTTACAGGCTAGGGCAAGAGAAAGTGGTCTACGTTTACCATCTTATTACATCAGGGACAATGGAAGAGGAAAAGTACATTCGCCAAGTTGAGAAAGAACGATTGTCAGATTTGGTGTTTGATTGCACAAGCTGGAGCAGCAGTCACCAGAAGGTTGTGTTTGATATTGCAGAGAGCGAAAAGGACAAAATTTTGGAAGAGATGGTTCAGCGTGACAAGCTCAAACCCATGTTTAAGAAGATTGTCTACCAACCGAAAGATACTAATCTGGTCAAATCTTTTGGCTTGGATTTGTAGTAAATCCGGCTGAAATCCTGCTGCAGTGTCTCATCTTGAAGCTGAAAGGTACACAACAGCATGCTTCATATTATTATTCCGAGTTTTCAGGATTTCTTTCCAGAATTGGGTGCATCATTTTGGAACATATCAATGATTCAGTACCAGTCACGATGTTATGTTTAGATAATTTTCTTTTTATTGCAGGAAACCTTAGGGACCTCTATGTTAGTTGATAGTCCTCACAGTTTCTGCAATTAAAGGACTAGCCTTTAACTACTTGCAGATCTGCTGCTGACTTTGTTGTTGCCTGTGCTATGCTTTACGCTCTGTGTTAGTTAGTTTTTTTTTTTTCCTCCTTTGATCCTTTTTTCTTTCTGGTGTTATAAGTTTGATCTTTAACTTGCTGATAAATAATGCATCTTTATAGACCTCAACTTATAGTCAAGGCCCATCCCAAAAGTGAACAATACAAGGCCAATTCTTTGTATGTTGGGCTTTTGTAATTCTGCACTAATTAATGTGGGCCAAAGCTCAAAGGACTCGTCAGTATGTATCTATTATTTTTCTCTTCTTCATAAATGGTTGAACTTGTCTGGAATTTTGATGCACCAATTAATCTTTGGCTGTATATATATATATATCTTTTTTTTAAAAAAAAAATTGCAATTCGGCGGCATTGTGGTAGAGCTTGCTTTTACATATAGAGATTAAATTTACCTTCCGAATCCAATGGAAAATAGGTTATTCAGACTAAAACAACAAGAAAATTCACGAAGACCAATTCCCCGTGGGCTTGCCTTACGGGAAAATAGGTTATTCAGGTTTGGTAGGATTTGTATATGTGTGATGAATCTTCCGTATAATAGCACTGCTTTGATCCTACCAATCGTTTGGAGGAGTTATCGGGTCTACGTTTTTATTCAGGACTTTTGGTTTCAACATTTGCGAGTCTCGTCACATGAGACGAACCTCAAACTCACAGTATTGAAATTGCCATAGGAATTGAACCAAAAACCCTTAGTACTCCAGTAGAGAGTTTCCTAGCTCCATAAATGCATGTCTTTTGAAGTGCGTTTAGAGAATACATCTTATATATCCACATAAATATCAAGCACTAATTTTCAGAATTGGTTGATCTTGGGTAGATGAGAACCCCTCAAAACCATAAACTAGCAAATAATGCCACAGGCTGACGATACTTACGTTATATGTTATGATTCTAATATTACAACAATGTCTTTCTTAATAATTAATTTAACTCTAAAAGTATGTATTAGAAAGAGGTAAAGCATTCATGTTCTGATGAATTTGAGTCATCACATGGAGAGTGATTGTGTCTACCTTCATAAGTTGTTATCACCATTCGACAATCCTCTGATAATCTTTCAACCCTCTTCTTCACTCGACAGTTGTTGTGCGTACAACGATAGTAGCTTCTGCCAGTACGTGATTACAAACAGAAAATTAATGATAATAATAAAAACCCTTCATTAATTCATCATTAATCAATCAAGGAGTTTCCCCAAAAGTGCATGATAAATGAAAAAGAGCAGTGTTGCATGACATCAATGCTGTCAAAAAAAAGTCATCATAATTTTATAAGGGTAGTGTTGTTTTAAAAGAATACAAGGAATGATATTTTATTTCAATGAGTATTATGTCATTTAATATTTTCACTTTTTAAATTTATCTCTAAACACTTTTTATTTTTATACACTTTTTATTTTTATAAATAGTGTCTGTCGTAAGCATTTTCCAACAAAAAACTAATGCAGAAATGTGAGTTGCCACTATAGGTTTAGTCAGCCCAGCTTCTCAATAAAAGCAGATAGAAAAGAGAAAAATGCATGATTTACTATTGGATAAAGACCGTCAGATCAAGGTGTCCTTTTCGGTGTTTTTGAAAAGAAGTTGATATCACATTGAATTGGATATATATTTGAAACATTTGATTCAACCCTTGCTCCATGATCTAGTCATGTAGCAGGGCATTGAACCGGATCGACACCGAAATGTGCTTTTTCAATGTATTTTGGTGTTTAAAAGGCAATGAATATTTTCTCAAATTAAAGGACCCTAAGAGAATGTATCTCAAATGTGATAGGTCAAGTCTGCCTTTAGACCACTAGACATATCTAACTCGGCTTAAACAATTGCCACTTTCCGGTAATTGAAACCAGCTATACAAGAACATGTAATGAGATGCAGGAAAATAACTATATTAATTATTTCTTTACTTGTTACTTAATTAACTATGGCCTTCTTATTACTAATATTTATTGTTTAGCTTCTTTATCTTTGTGGATACAGAGGGAAAAAACAAAGCTCACTGCAAAGAAATAGAGCGGGGGATGAAGCCCCTGCGATATCCTTTAATGGGATTTGAAGGCAAACAGCAGGATGTTGCGGAAAGAACACAGTAGGGTTGGCAAGCCATTCTATGCATCTATTAATTTATTTTTTGTATTTTTGATTTCCCTTCCAACAAGTGTCATTCTAAAATCTAGCAATTCTTATTGTGTGGTCATCAAAGCTCGTGCTTGTATAAAAAGAACCTAACCATGTCACATTCAGGTTGTCCTTACAAGTAATATACAATGTAATATGTCCATTTAAGGCTTTATAAGAAAATCTTTGGCACTTTAATTGTGTATATCCATCTTGAAGGGGGCAATAGCTTGAGTTCAGGATTTATACTAGGGTGGTTGAGATTCAAATCCAATATCGGGTAGGTCAGGATACACACACACATATATGTATTTTAAAGCTTAATGAATCTTTCATTGATAAAAAAAAACTTGACTAATTAACTATTTTCTTGGATATTTTATGCTCATTATTTCTGGACTGAAAGCTACATCTTGATTCTTCATCAATTAGCATTAATTATCTTTAAAAAACATGTAGGCATTTTTTCTTTTTGCAACACACACTCATATAGCTGTAGGCTGTATATTGAATGATCATAGGTTTATTTAACTAAAATTGAACAGAAAGTAGTTTGAATGCTCTAATACCATTGCTAGTATTGATTTGGGTTCATGTGTTTGTGTGTTTAGATTGGTTGTTAGTTTAACGTTGGAACAATTGTAATCGTCCATGCAGCACAAACACAGCATTTTTATGCACTTCTTACACCACATATAAAAGTCTTCACGTTTTTTTTTTCCAAAAGTATTTCTATGATTTTGGTGATTTAGAAATAGCAGGTTAAGTTTCTTATGCATCACTAGCTAAGTCAGTTCTTTCTTCTTGATTACTTTTGCCCACTTGACCCTTTAAATCACTATAGACCAGAACTCTGATATCGGATGACACTTCATCCTCTCCAGAGGTAATTAGTATTTCCTATCTCCATCTCATTCTACAAATTAGGAGCAAAAGGAGAAGCTACCATCATTGAAGTTCTGTGTATACACGGATGAAGCAAACCTTAAATCTGAAAGCCTAACCTTATAGTTCACCTGTACTTGTCATAAGTGAATTAATTTGCTTAATTAGGTTACTAGTTTTGATCAATACGGAATATCAAAATCACCCATTTTTTCACAGCTAAAAAACAATAATAAATGAACAGAGCATAAAAGTGTATTAATTGGACATCCTAGTAACTGATCTTAACTATGGACTCTCAAATATTTTTTTGGAAGGCAATGTCTATATATGTCTTTGTACGTGAGTGTATTTGGAGTTATTCATCAAAATTAATATATGGAAATGTGGCAGTGAATTATTGGAAAAATCATTTTTTGGAGTTTATTTGTTTAAATTTTTTAGTTAAGATTTTTTATGACATGATATAAGATTTTTTTTTTATTAATGATAAAAAATTCAAATCTTATCATTTCATTTTTTCTTTCTAACCTAAAAAGTTTATGTGAAAGGTTGTAATGGTTGAATTAATTATAAAAACAATTTTGGAACCGAAATTTTTTAATTAATTTGGTTTTTGACGAGTGATAGCAATTGTTTTTTTCCTTAAAAAATTGAAGAGTACAATGATTGTAAAATACTGTTTGAAAGATGTAACAGTTTGGAGGGTTTCTAGATAGTTAAAAAACAATGGCATAGTAAAAAACATTTTTGCATTATATTTCATGTGAATTGAATATAATATAATATAAAATTAGTGGGTCTAAGAAAGAACAAATGAATTAGTAGCATCGATTCCCTGTGAGTTGCTTGCTTCTGTCTTAAGCGGGCTAGCCATATATTCTCCTGACACCCCCCAACAAATGATTAAAAGAAGCCTGAATGCAGGCTGACACACCGTATTACTATTATTCCATCTAGCTTCTATGCTTGTGAATGACTTTGAATGAAATTATTGACCATCATTGCTTCAATGTGTGTGTGAATTTTGCTATGACATTATTATTGTTTCTAAACTATCTAGTACTAACCTAGGTTAATTAATAAAATAAACCATTAATTATGCATAACTTTCTCAAAAAAGGGAAAAAAATATGATCAAGGAATTAAATTAAAATTAACACTTGTCGATGTAATGTTAATTATATTGAAACTTGAGAAGGTGTTGGATGAAATAAAGATTCAAATTCCAAACCATAGCTAATTAATACTGGTTCAAGCGTGCATGGAATCAGCTGTGTAAGATTGAAAGCATTAATTAATGTTGGAAATGTCAGAGAGATTATCAATTAATTTACCTTGGATGAAGGCTGTTTTTGACAACTTTCTGGCCATATTTTCTCCATTTATAACCATCATCAAGAACATCCACATCACTCCTTGTTTGAAAACAAAATCTTGGCTCTCTAAGCTTCCTCCTCACTTTCAACTTGTTCTTGTCTGAGGATGAGCTTCTCCACCTGCAAAAAAGATCATTTCAAATCTTAGCTAGTTCAAACTTTTTGTCTTGGTCCATTAAAAAGGGGTTCAAATTAAAGAAAATCCGAACAAGTATTTATTTAAATGTATAGATGGAAAAAGATAGGAGATCCATTGATGGACAGGAAGATCTGAGTATGAAAGGGTATCAAAAAGAGAGAGGTCATGATGTATTATTGTAGACGAAAGCACACTGTGACAAAGTGGAAGCCATTTATGTCTTCCACATATGTGATGAGTAGATCTCCTTAGATTCTGTTGAAATTTAGACCTCTTGAAGAATATTTTCTTCTATATGTATGTTGTGTGCGTGCATGTTTGTCCTTGTTGTGGAGAGAGAGAATAAAGTGCCTAAAGCTCCTTGAAACAGAAAAAAAGGAAGAAACGAACACGCCATAGAGAGAAGGATACCATTACCATGAATTGTTGCCATCGTTGTTGTTACCAGTGCAGTTCTCATCACTAGAAGCCTTCGGATCCAATGTCCCCACCTAAATTTTCCATAACCAGAATACAGTACAAAGATCAACCAATCAAGTACTCCATAAGTAAAAGAATTCAGCATTAAATAACGGAGATATCTGATAAAATTGGAAAGATACAAAATTAGATTAGGATCGCAGGCACTAATCGAGTAATCAAGAAATGGTCCCCTTTTTTTTTTTTTTTTTTTACAAAAAAAGAGATACATGAATAGTTTTAAGGATCTCACAACCCTAGTCTTTTTGTATAAGATTTTGCTATACAGAATAGTATAAAAATACATACCTGCTGGTCATTATTACTAAACCCCATGTGAATATTGGTGGTTGTAGTAGTATTAGTATTGAGAGGCTGAGATATCTGAGAAGATTGTGAAGTGGCCAAGAAGCTCAAGACCTGGTTTTCTTCAAATTGAACAAAACCCATCTCATGGATTGCCTGTGGTGTAGAGAAAGAGACTTGTAGCTCGTAATTTGGAACTTCTCTTTCTCCTTGATCCATTCTGATCAAAAAGCTTTTCTCTCCTTCTTGTGCTTCTTCTTCTTCTTCTTCTTCTTCTTTTTATGGGCTTATTTGGTGCATGAGAGTCAAGCACAAGGAGTTGGCCTTGTTTTTTTTTGTGTTTCACACCATGTACTAGTTTGGTCAACGAGTAAAGGCCGAAAGGAATGTTTCCTGGAAATTATTCCTTTCCATCTTCTTTAAGGTTGTCTATAGAGTCTACAGAAGTAAAAGACTTGAACAGTCACTGCTTATCTCCCCCCTCTCTCTCACACACACCAGCAACAGTACGAACCAATAATTAAGGGAATATTTGGGTTGTCTACCATCCAAGAATATTAGGTTTTCTTTAGATAAGTAGATGAATTGGATAAATAACTGTGAGGGTTAATCTTTTTCACCCTCGATCGCGTAAGTGGTGATAGGATTGTAATAAGTAAACTATACTCTACCATTAAAACTATAGCTTAGCACCAATACCTCAACACCAATGAATTTGAATGTACTTAAATGATCAGTAAGATGTTGGCTCGGTTAGTAAGTACTTGTTTTGCTTCTCAAATTATCATTTGGAATTTGAATTCAAGTACAAATTAGGAGAAAGAAATTTATCTATATATGGATATACCAATTTGACTTATTTAAAACCCAACACAAAAGGTTTTTAATAGGTCACTCCATCAATGCATGGAAGCTCATCAAATGATACCCCTAACCGTTAATTAGTGTATACAAATGTGATACAATTCGCATTTTTTTAGGCATTTTGTTTACTAATACTAGCTAGAAAAAGCACGGATAAATTTTTTTTGTCCGACTGTTAATCTAAGAAGTGCTAAATTCAGTAATGGAATTATTATTCTCATCATTTTTTATACAATTATCAATATATCCTTTATCAATTACCAATAATTATTAGATAATAAATATTGATAAAAATAATAATTTTATTGATGAATTTAGAAGCATCCATTAATCTAATGCATGTTTCTCACAAACTTTAATGATATATTTTTATCTATTGCTTGTGTATTGGTTAGGGTAGAATCAAATCTTGACAATTATCTGTTAATCATGAAACCAGTTAATCAAGTTTTCAAAAACCAATTAATAATTAATATGGATTATATGTGAATTAAAATGCATGTATATATACATGCACGTGCGCGCTCACACACACACATATATAATTTGTATTTAAATGACTATAAGATTATTACAAAGAAGAATGTAGATATTTAGCTTAACAAACACGTTTTGGTGCCGCACATGGTCATGTTGCAAATTAATTAAGAACTTGTTTATTGTTAGTCATGCTTTAATGCCATCTTAACACGCAATCCACACTAAATCCTGAATTCCAAAGATGACGTTGGATGTTGATGCATAGCTAGTGATGTGATGAAAATGTTGTTTACACCCTCGACTTTGAGCAAGAAATTAGAGGAGAGAGGATAGGGCATGGGTACTGTACTTTTTGTCTCTGCAAATATTGCAAATGAAATTAGACGAGAAGGGAGCCTCTTAATTATCTTATATATGATTATTAGTGTATGTGAATAAGGCCCTTATTTTTAAATGAAATATACCATTTTTTTGGTTAACTAGATATATGAAACCTAAAATGGCTTAACTACTAGAAACTAGAAAAGATGGATCCTCGTTAAACCAAGGACTAGCTTGACCCGATGCCAGTAATCCTGATCAGTGGAGGAATATATCCGTGGAGGAATATCTTTGTTCACATATACTATATATGTTGTTTGTAAATATTAAAAAAAATCTAATCAATTAACTAATTCCTATAAATGAAATGCAAATGATTCTATTCACCAATGAAGAAGAAATTTTCTATAATTTGAATCCAGTTGAAGCTCCGAAATCAAGTTAAATATGGATTATTGGTATTATTATTTGAGAAGTTAAAAAGGTAGGATCTTTACAAAGCTTCATGGTAATTTTCTTCATCTTTCTTTTCATGTGATTAGGACATATAGTGGCGTAACTGATCAAGTTATGAAATTCTTCATAATCTTTCAGGCTCATGTACATCATATATATATATGACTGGTCGATCTTATCCTTAAAGATACTTTTTGTACTAGTATAAGTTATTCGAGAAGACATAATTAATTAGTTGCTGTGATATATATTACCTCTCATAGAAATGCTTTTCAAAAATACATTTCAAGTAAGTAATGTATTGATCAGATGCTCGTTCCCCTCATCTAATTTTTTTCCCAAACTTCATATACAAAGGATATATAAAGCTGTCATACATTTTGTTAAATTTTATTAATTTCTTGGCTTCATAAAATTAATTAAGATTTTGGAAAATAAATCATAAAATTAAACCAGTGAGAGTTTTATTCTGTGCATGGGGTCCTTTTTTTTTTTTTTTTTTTTCCATTTTGAGAATGACCATACGAGGCTCGTAAATTTCAAGATGTTGCAAATGTGCACTGACATGTTGTAGTTCTTGGAAGAATAGACTCTTAATTGTTTGCCGTTTCTTTTTCTTCGGTAATTGAATTCTTTTTCTTTAATTAAGCTTCAAGAATTAATCCTTAATTCTACATCAACTTTTTGTATTGAAAATTAACAACTTTTAATCATATATATATATATATATCTTCCAATAAAAAGCAATTCTGATAGTGCATATACAATTAATATATATAGATGGCATTTTATCTGGGTTGCCATGAAATAAGGTTTCTGATGTATTTGCATGTGCATGGCTTGGGCTTCGGTCAAGTTCCTCGCTTAGTTCAGACTCCATGGACCATGATTTTGTAATTTTCAGTTTGCTTAATCATATAATGGAGATGTGGAGCTCAATAATGAGGCATGTAAAACAATAATTATAAAAAAAAAAAAAAAGTAGTGATGGTTGGCTTTGTTGTCCTTATTATGTCAATCAAACTATAATCGATATAATTAATTTGTTCATTTATTGAAGCAAGCATCATTAAAAGAAATTGCTTCAAGAGTCCAGCATGCGAACGACATATAGCTAGTAGCTAGCAAACACTTTAATTTCTTTGTTTTAAACGTTAACAATGAATTCATGATAAAGGTAGTGCTTGAAATCTGAAACCCAATATTGTCTTATTTTCACAGCGTTGAACTACAAATCCATTGATGACAAACGCTATTTTCCTGATTAACTGGTTCATGCTCCAATTCTACATTTAATATGAATAAACAAGAGAGATTCTTTGTACATTTATGGGGCCTAATGGCCACAAAGCAACTTCAGCTATAGGTACATATTAGTTGATGGATATGTGGCGTTACAAAAATTGAATCAGAGTCGCTCTCACTTCTTCATCTCCTAAGTAGGATTGCACATTGGATAGGAGTACAAGGAAAATGAGCTTAAATTTTATTCCACATTCAAAATTTTTCATTTATTTAAACTTGATGAGAAACTAGTCTTTCTAGTTTTTTCAGTTAAAAATAAAAAATTTTATTGATAAAACAATAATACAAAGTGAGTTTTTATAATCTTAAATGACATTGAATATAAATAAAAGAATTACACTAAAAAAAAGAGAGAGAGCAAAACAATTATTTGGTACAAAAGAAAAATGCTACAGATTAATCTCAAATTTAGTGACGACCAGTAGGGTTCAGTTACCTTGTAAATATTTCTTTTTTCTTATAAAGTATTGTTGTCCATCAAATCGGCTTCAATCTATTCAGATCCATGAAATGAATCTGCACTAAAAACTCCATAAATAAATAAAAATATTTTTTTAAAAAAAACTATAAACTCTAAAGAAAAGAAGCAAGAGAGTAAAAAAACTAGATATCATAAAATAAAAAAATCAGATCTAAAGGCATAAAATTTTAATATGGGATCATTAAAAGAAAAATATTTTTTTAAAAAGGAAAAATATGTTATTGTCAACAACAAAATAGCTAAAGAAAATCTTAAAATACTCTCAAAACCCATGTATATATATCAGTTCAGCAATAAGGATGTCCTCGAATTAGTTTTCATATAACTCAAGATTAATATTTTTTAAACATGGCTAAAAGACATTTCCTAACGTATGGTCTCGAGCATTTTGAAAATAAGTTCTCAAAAATGCTAATTAGAAGGATTAAATCCTGAAACTAGTCTGTAAATTAATATTTGTTTATCAGCTAACTATAACCTTATAGTTAAAATTTAAATATATTATCAACCGTAAGATGCGGTACATAAAATTCGAATTCTTCATTTCCAGAACGAGCATTCTATGACTTCAATTAAACAATCATTTTGAACTTGGAAGAGACGGCAGCCTCTGCCTGCAACCCCTAGCTAGTTTCGCCTAATTGGTAAAGGACGTTAATTAGCCAAAAAAGAAAATGTTAGCTCAATTGATATTTTTGTAGCTGGATTAGCATTCATATTGATTCTCATAAAGGAAAGGAATGAGAGAGAGAGAGAGAGTGTGTGTAATAAGAAGAGGAAGTCTTTGGAGGCAATGAGTGGTGGGGTAGATGAAAACTTCCATCTATGTCAACATATGCCTATGACAGTTGAAAGAAAGAAAAAGATAAAGAGCCTCTCAAATCCTGCCAAATCAAATTCCAATATAAGAGCTAGGTACGTATCTTTATATATCTGTCTGTATACATTATGTGTATCTGTCCACTCGGGCCACCCTAGCTTGCCTTACCTGCAAAAAAGAGAAACTAAAAACTATCATAGCCCCCGTCCCTTCCACTCACTCTCACCTGTTACTTCATCCACAGTCTCTCTGTCTCTCCCTCTCTCCATCTATGAAAGGTCCCTCCCAACTTCCCCCACAATACCAACATCAACAACAACTAAGAACCCCTTTTATTTCAACTCCGTAACAACAATAAAACAAACAACATATATGTTGAATATGATCACATGAACTTTTTCTAAGTAACAATATTCTGTTGGTGATGGAATAGGTGCACATGAGGTCTTTTTCGAAAGAGAAGAGGTTTAGATCACTCCATTATATACCGATCAGTGCTGAAGAATACAGCTTTTGATTCATGGAGAGCAAAATTAAGGGGATTCCATCCGAGAAAAAGAGGCTTGCTTTTTGGAGAAATCATATATAAGCTGACTCTGCAAAATGTTTTAAGATATATTTATTGGTGGTGAATGAGATCTAACTTTACAAAGGAGACAAAACTTATATAAAAAAAAAATTCAAGAGATGATGAGCATATAGATGGTATATTGAATTTTATGATTGTGATTTATATTGAATCTTATTGTTGAGTTTAGATTAGATTTAAAAATATAAAGCATTCGGACAGATAGTATAATCTCAACTTTGTATTTTAACTCTCTGACCCAATTGCCTAACTCGATTTGTATATGAAATCTTTTGATATTTATAAGTGTAGTTAAATATAAGTGGGTTTCTCTTACGTTCTAATTTCAGATTTTAATCCATTTAGTTATATATATATATATATAGAATTTTGAATATGAATAACATATCTAAAACTCAATTTTGAAAATAGCTCGACTTTGTATGATTTAACAAAAATTGCCTCCAAACTATTACGATTTGATAATTTTAAATATTTACCATCAATTTATGTTAATTAAATCCTTTTTTTTTAATAAATATGTTCTTTATCCATTATTTTTAATGGTCAAATAATTGACTATCAACGGTCAATTCTTTGACCGTTAACATTCTAGATTTTTTTAAAGTTAACTTAATGAAAATATAATCTACATAAAATTACATAGTGACTATACACGATTTCAAAATCAATAACACTTGTAAAAATATTTAAAAATATAGATAATCAAATAAAATTAAAAAAAAAAGTATATATATTTAAATAAATAAATAAAGTACAAACTCTCGATTATAAATAAATAAAATGTTTGTACTCATATGGTGAATAGATCAATATATTGATATGTGTCAGTATGAATTTAATAAAAATTAGAAAAAAAATATTTTTTTATTTTTTATTTAAATATATGTACTTTTATTTTTTCTATTTGTAGTTTTAATTTTTTTTATAAGTGTTATTAATTTTGAAATCTAATAAATGGTAACTATGTAATCTTATATAGATCATATCTTGACTGAGTTAACTAAAGAAAAAAACTAAAATGTTAATGATCAATTTTTTAATTGTTAAAAATGATAGATAAGGATCGTATTTAAAAAAGTAATTTAAGATATAATTAACCTAATTAGTATAAATGCTCGAAATTGTCAAATCGTTCTAGTTTGGGATAATTTTGCCGTTAAACCATAAAGAGCAAAATTCTTGAGAAGGTTTTTTATTATTATTACTTTGTATGTAAAAACAATTTTTTTTTTTCTAATTAAAACTACCACTCCACCACAAGCTGTTGAAAGCTTGTCGTTATCCTAAACATTTATGATATAGTAAGAATCACCAATCTTTTATTTTGTCCGTTCAGACCTTCAAGCGAATCTTTTCAATTCTTTTAATCTCTTTAGACTTTAAAGCGAAGAGGCTACCGAAGAAGTGAAAAGTGTCTGCAATAATTTAAGGACAATATTGAAAAAGATTTCTCGCTCAAGTCAATAGAAACGGAGTATAATCTGCCGGCATATTTGAGTTGGATTTTATGGGGGCTCAATATTCAACCCTATTTTCGGCAAAGTCAAGAAGAATTCAATCTGCTTATGAACTTATTACGCCGACAGGAGGAAAAATGAGACTCTGGAGGGTACCACAATTTCCAAATTTGTCAAAAATAATCAACGGAGTTTAAGAAATTTATGAAAGATATACCGATTAGGTGAAATTGAAGAATGTAAGTTTTTAACTAATCATGTTATGGACGAGTTTTTCATTAAGTTTGAATTTCAATTAAAACTGCTTGGGAGTAAATTATGTGATGGACGAGTTTTTCATAGAGTTTGAATTTCAAGTAAAACTGTTTGGGACTTAATGAATTTGGCACTCTTCAAGACAAGAGTAATCCAAACCACAACCCATTTATCTTGAAATCGATGGTTTAAATTTCCTTAGAAAAATAAGGATATTAAAAGATCTTAACAAACCCACTAACTTGGTAAAATAAAATCTTAATATTAGTTTAAATTTCCTTTGTCTTGAAATCCAACCCCATTTAAAATTTTTCCATCTTATGAATGAAATTAGGAGTAGAGTAATGTCAAATGTGTTAAGAAAATAACATAAAGAAAAAACTTTTAAAAATTTATATGAACCGTTAGATTAATAGAACCTATAATTGACTTTCATTTTAATATTATGTTCCAAAAGTTCATGTGTATTCGACTTTAATATCATGATCTAACAGTTTATGTATATTTTTGGGGTTTAATAATGTCAAACATTAAGAAAATGACCCAAAAAAATACTTAAAGAATTCATGCACATATACAGATCATTAGATTAATCCAAAATGGATTCCCTAATTTCATTTGTATGACAATATATAAATATATGTTTTTAGATAAGAAATTTTATAATACTTGAAAAATAACTAGTTTATATGTATAATAATTACTTCATGAACTAATTTTTGAAAAATAAAAAAAGCTAAAACATATAAAAAAAATGACATACGGATCTATTAAAAAACAATAAGAAAATTTTTATCTTGCCTCAAATTTCTTTTTTTCTTTTTTATTTTTTCTCTCTTATTTCTTTCTCATTTTAGTGTCTATTTTTTTTTTCAATTGAATAACTTATACTAATTATTTTTTAAGTATTATAAAATTTTTCATGTTGAACTACATAAACCAAAAGTATTCTTATGTAACGGGGTTGATTTTAAGATTAAGGAATATTTCTGGTTTATGTATATAACGGGGTTGATTTTAAGATAAAGGAATACTTCTGGTTTATGCAGGGTAATACCGTATATTTTAAATTCATAGTACCATTTATTTGTAATAAATCTTTGAGAAAGAACAGCTACCCTTACAAGCAAACAGTTAATATGAATAAATGATACATCTAGGCTGTCGCATGTTGTCCCACAGTGCGACTTGAAATTCTACATTGAGAGACCATGTATATTTGTGTAGGAGAATGGCTTGCATGAATTATCCCCAAAAAACAGATTCTATTGAATCATTCATGTGAGCGTCCCAAACAGCCCTAATCCAGATGATCAGACCGGACGTCGAAAATAATTCCTTTAACTGAAAAAAAATAAATAAATAATACATCTATTAAATAAGAATACATTTTAAGTTTATCTAGTTAGTACAAACAACGATGACATCATTTTCATTCAACTTTCTCTTATCAACATCAAAAATATTTATTTTTTAAATAAGTGTAAGAAACTATTAACGATTAAAAAATAATTAAGTATTATATCTTTCATTTTATGTAATTGTAATTTGACAAGACAATTGACTATATAAATAGTCAAGAAATCTAACTCCTCTTCTTATTATTACTATTTATTATATTATTCATAGTTGTATCATTGTATTATTATCTTTTTATATTACAGTCATATTCTATACGTTAATTTAGATATGAGAGGATCTCTTAACCCATCGAGAAGATTTGCTTTGCAAGTATTTCAATTAGTTTGATTTCTATCTGCCAGCAAATTTTATAACTGTAACAACCAAATTAAGAAAACGTGATCGCTATCATAATCTTTCTAGGTTTACAACCTTATTACTTAGGGTCGAGATTTCTTCATTATTAATGCCCTCCGATATTTAAGCTCTTGGATTTCGCCTCTCCGTACTCTTTACCAGCATCGCACCTAAAATCCACGGCAGCCTCTGGTTTGATAGTAACCGATTCCGACTCAGGTGGAGGGGCTGTTGTAACATTAATTACTAGCTTCACCTCCTTATGTGTCTTGTTGGATTAACATATGAGGACAAACTACTTTCTTATGGCCATGACGCCCACAATCAGAACAAACTGAGTCGGAATAAAATTACGTTATAGAAAAGTTGAAGGTTATATATTTTTTTCTTTAAATTTTTATCTTATTTAAAGTAAAGAAAAAATTTGTAAAACATATGTTATATATACTGACATCTGAAAAGCCAAAATGCTAATAATATGTTAATTATGTTATGTCAAATAAAATTATTATTTTATTAATTTTATTTTTGTTGAAAAGAAACAAATTAATGAAACAAGCTTTATGAAGGATTGTATGTACAGTGTAGACAAGTTTGAGATAAGACGTGGAATCTGTACGTGCAGACAGAAGGGTATGAATGTGGATGAATAGAGAAAAGGGCTGTGAATCTGTACGTTGCCCATACCTCACACGTGTGTTTTATTGCAGATTAAAAGAAGAAGGGGTGCAAAAAACAAAATCAAACAGGCTGTTCTCGTTACGACCAGCACATTTGGGACTCGTAGTTTCATTCTGGCCTTCCACTGTGAGAATTAATTGGGTCCATTCCAAAATTGAAACAATACCGTAAATCACAGAGAGGAAAAGAAAATACTAAAATAAGGGCATAATTACTGTGAAATTATATGTGTGAACACAAGATTAGCATATTATGTCGACACATCAACCAATCAATATATCTGTTAATCTAACAATTAACGAGTTAATTTTATCAACATGGGATTTGTCCCGCATTAATATCACAGCATCGTATAACTTACATTATTGCTAAAACAATCACCAAACAGTCGTGCTATGGGAAAAACCTCAAAAGAAAAAACAAAAGTGCTTACTTGCGCATCCGACAAGTTCATCATTTCTAGAATTCAAGTTCAAAAGAGCACTCGATAATCTAGCTTAAAAGATCCAATTTGAAGCAATAAAAG